TCAGGAAATTTCTTCTGGAAATTGGCCTTCAGGTGCCTCACACAGTAACGGTGGTATGCATATGGTTCCTGCCATTCAGGCAAGTGACGTACAGAACTTAAAATACCACCATGCCGATCAGATATTAGACAAATACCTGAACGTTGTTTGACAACGTGCTGCTTCAAGTGGTTCAAGAACTGCGTCCACGTCTCTTCACTTTCGTTGGCACAAATGGCAAAAGCTAGTGGAAATATTTGTCCGTTGGCATCTACAGCAACTGCAATCAAAAGCTTAATATCATACTTTCCATAGACATGAGTACCGTCTATGGAAATTACAGGACGGCAATGCACAAAACCATCAATTGCTGGTTTAAATGACCAAAATACATAGTTGAATATATATTCCGGTCTGTCCGGACTTCGCTCACGCCTCCATTCAACAACAGTCCCGGGGTTAAAGTGTTGCAGTGCAGCCATGTACCTGGGCAGATTTGAAAAAGACTTATCCCAGTCGCCATAAATAAGTTCAAAGGCACGTTTGCGACCGAGATATGCCTTTCTTTTGGTTATAGTACAACCATACTCCTGGTGGACGGCTGTAATACACTCTTTAATCTTGAACCTAATGGACACTTCCAAAAATGGAATCAAGACAAGGGAAATCAAGTCCACATCCAAGTTGAAGTGATTCTCATTGAATGTGTCCATTTCACATCTGTGCTCGCTAATAAATTTACCCACTTTCCACAAACCTGATTTCTTCTTTGTGGCACGCAGCATCCAGTGACAACCCATAAACCACCTACGGCATACAGCCTTGTATTTCTCCGTAGTTGACTCACTTACCGTCATCTCACGACACTCCCTTATACTGTAGATTTTTACAGCCCTAACTAGGCGAGCTTTATCGGGGAAATACATGCCCTTTGTAAGAACAGCTGGTCTAGATTCATCCCACATCACTGACCGTAATTCATCATCATCCCTTGTTAGGGCATCAACGTTAGGCATGCTTGGCAAATTATCAAGGTAGGGAATATTTCGCTCATGAAATGGCACGTGGGACTCATACACTCTTGGTCTAGCGGGAGGTGGAGGAACATGCTCCCTAGTCAGCTCAGGTTCAACATTCACTTCCTCCTCCTCATCATCACCCTCATCATGGAAGGGTGTCTCATCCCCAGACTCATCCGCATTGTTGTCATAATCACTATCATCCTCCTGACTCTGCGCATCTGCCAAATCACGAGTAAAAACGTCGTCTATGGGCAACTGTGTGAGGCCAGGAGCTTCAAGAAGCTCGTTTTCACTGCACAAAACGAACAAAAACCTAAGTTACCCAATACTCAGGAAAAATACTTTAGATATCGCTATATCACTTTACTTACAAATCGTATTGTCTTGACGTTTCATGATGGATATTTTCAGGTTGGTGATAACTCCCAGATGGACCACCGTGGTCCAATACTCCAGACCTACGCAGATTCCAACTAGGGGCGAGGTCATAACTTGTAAAATTCAAATCCGTACGGTACCCCCTATAAAAAATATGAGTGTTAATACAAATCCAATTAAAATATGAAAAAAAAATCGCTAAAACGTAGTAAAATTGAAGTTTACCAGTCGTCTTGTTGATTATATAAAGTGGAAACATTATTTTCTGGCTGCTCATTCGCCTGTGGTGACAAGTTTAAATCAAGGCAAGCTCTTTCATCTCCAATCTGTCCGGCAAACGCTGCTCCAGAATAACCACCCGATGACTGGAGGTTATCCCTGCTATGCACGCCCTCATTACTAGGAACGTCTTCCACCTTGACGTACATTTCCAATAATTTTATTACAATAAATTCCCTGTATTCATCCAGAATCCGCAAAAAATCTCTAAGAGTTTCATCATCCTCGATGTTAAACTCAGAATAATAAGCAAACCCCTGCGGAGTCACTGAATAAGGAAATCTACCGGTTACTTTAAGGCTAACCGAACGCCTCCGCTCACTCATTTTTTTACGTAGCAACGATACCAATGTATCGTACTCCATATTAAGCGGCAATTTAACATGACACTGTGGAGGTGAGCTATACCTCACAGAGTTATTCTCCACCACAATCCCCCCCCCAATACAGTGAACCCTTATTTTTGGCACTTCAGACATTGTAAAAAATTGGTTGATAAGGAGAAGAGAGAATAAACGTATGCTTGAAGTTTAAGTGTTGAATGAATTTTTATAAAATTGAAGCGCCTATAAATAAGGCAAGTCCGACCTTGGGGTGTACAATTTTTCAAAGTAATTCGCAGTATTATACTGCGTTTTATGTATTTGAATTATTGTTATGTTAGTTAATTATTGGTGGGGCCTAAAATCAGCCTATTTCGCAGTACTGTACTACGAAATGTCATAAAAAATTATTTTTTTAATATTTCACAGTTTTATACTGCGAAATGCCTTAACGGCAAAAAATCCGTTAAGCCAATTCGCAGTATAAAACTGCGAAATACCCATTATTGTATCTTTTTTTTTAACATCAAAAATGTATTTTATGTTCAAAAAATTATTAATTAAGTTTTGGACTCCATTCGATGTAGTATGACTTTTGTCTCGAATATATATTTCACTGAAAAGGTAAAACTATTTTAGACAAAGATTTTTAATGTAGTATGACTTTTGTCTCGAATATATATTTCACTGAAAAGGTAAAACTATTTTAGACAAAGATTTTTAACTAGTGTTAAGTAAGTTATCAAATGAAGAGAGCAATATAAATATAATGGCATATGCTTTTTCCTATAAGAATTTGAATGTTGCGACACATAATTATCCTTTTATCTTAAGAAGATGTAGCAGAGAAAATAGGGGAACATAATTCAATGAGAACAATTAGTATTTAGTTGTGGTGCTATATCATAGTACCTAACATTGTGATCATGCAACCGAGCGGGGCATTTGCATCTATACCCGCTTTTTATGCCACATTTTAACCTGTGCCCGCTTTGCAAAAAAAATTGCAAGCGTACCCGCTTTTTCACATAACTTCAGCATGCGGGGCTGAAGTAGCAAAGGCAATCACACAAAACTTCAGCATTTTAGTAGCCGGGCCTGAAGTTCATCTCTAGAACTGAAGTTTTTGTTTTGTAACTCGCGAACTTCAGCTCTAGAGCTGAAGTTTTATTTTATAAGTTTTTGTTTAGTAACCGGAAACTTCAGCTCTAGCACTGAAGTTTGCCAGTTATAAAATAAAAACTTCAGCTCTAGAGCTGAAGTTTTATTTTATAAGTTTTTGTTTAGTAATAGGGAAACTTCAGCCAGTTATAAAATAAAAACTTCAGCTCTAGAGCTGAAGTTTTTCTTTTGTAACCGGAAAACTTCAGCTCTAGAGCTGAAGTTTTTGTCTTTATAACCGGAAAACTTCAGCTATAGAGCTGAAGTTATNACTACCCCAAATAACACTCGTTTTCACATAACTTCAGTTATAGTTCTATTTAATTACTACTAATTATTTCCCCACAAACTACAGAACCTTCAATTTACTACATTATCAACAACTGTAGTATTCTACGCAAAAGAAGAAAGAAGAAGATGCATTCTGTGAAGGAGAAAGTAAGCAACGCAGTGGAGAAAGCAGCAGCAAGGACAAAGGAAGAGGTAAGCAACGCAGCGGAGAAAGGGAGCTGAAGTTTTTTAAAAAGTAGGTACAAGTTAAAAATTTTTAGAAAAATGGGTATAGGTTAAATGGGGGCGACCAAATAGGAAGCCCCGTGCAATTTCTACCAACCGATCGTGGATCAGGTCCAATGCTTACTCTATAGGGTTATGGAATATTAATAAATGATCTTAATACAATAAGTAAATTTTATCAATAATATGTGAATCCTTTACGATCAATTAATTAATCTTTCAGTTCTTTTTCAAAAATACTTAATTTTATGTTTTTTTGACGGAAGATAAATATTTTATAACAAAGATCTGAAAATAACACATAATAAATCTGAAAAAGTACTTGTTTCTAATTACTTTCTATTCAAATTCAAACTGATCATATGATACAAAAAGGAATATATATTTGAAGTCTTTACAAAAACATCCGATCTGATTTACTATTTATTTTTTTCTAGCTGGTTAGATAATACACGAATGTACATAAATTATACATATATTATATATTACAGATTATATTTTAATTTAAACGATTGATTGAATAGTTATTTAGGTTAACATTATTAACCAGCGTCAGAAACTATTTACATTCGATAGCTGAAAAAATATATAAAATTTATATATTTTATATATAACATACACAATATATATAAGATATATATTTTGTGATTATTATTTTAAGAGTGGCTATAGAGCTTAGGTAATTTTAACCCATACACATCTATTTGGTAAAAATAGCACGGTCTAGCTAGTTTTCGGACTGGTCATTCAGAAATAGCCAGCGTTTACCAAGTCAATGAAAATTAGCCACTATTTTGCTGCAACAGAGATCGGTCCAGCATAATATACTGGAGTTCGGTGCACATGTGTATGAACTTCCAGCATATTATGCTGGAACTCCAACACACAGAAAGTTCCAGCATAATATACTGAAGATTCAAGCACTTGTGTATGAACTTCCAGCATATTATACTGGACCGGTATACTTTGCTAGAACTCCAGTATATTATGCTGGAGTTCTAGTGTACTTATGCTGGTACTCCATCATATTATGCTGGAGTTCCAGCATATATACTTATGCTGAAACTCCAACATAATATACTGGCGTATTTCTCGGGTTTTGAACAGTATTTTCGCTCAAATTTATCTTTACATAAAAAGTAACTAAATTTCAATTACTTTTAAAACAGAGCTATTTTTGAACGACCACTTGTAAATCTGGCAATTTTTGAATTTATGCCCTCTATTTTGAGAGCGACTATAATAACATGGACTCCCACAGCAGGAGCCCATATCTGATTCGTTTGGAAATAGAAAAGTGCGGTCCCACCAATCTCCACGCGGCTTAATAAGCTTTTTACCAATCACCATCTATTACGACGTTGTAATACTCTCTGGAAACTGTCAACACTTAATTCTTTTTCATTCGCTCTACTCCCACACTATCCCCTTTTCCCCAGGCAAAACTCGTTAGTTTTGTTCACTTCTATGCCTATAATATCGAAATACACTCTGTAAGCAAGAGGGAGTCGAGAATGGCGAGGAAATTAGGGTCGTTTAGGAAGAGTTTCGAAGAGAAAAGAGAAAGAGAAAGGCTTTTTTCCTCATGCAACGGTGATTACACTGAGTTACCTAGTTTCAAGCACACTCTTGATTACCCTGAAAATCCAGGGTGTTTTTCGTCTTTTCGTGAAAAGTTTAGAGAGGTATGGAAGGATTGGAGCAGCGTAGCCGTGAAGGCGATGGAGATGGGTCGATCCGACCCGAGAAAGATTGTATTCTCTGCAAAGATGGGTTTGGCTTTAATGCTCATATCTTTGTTAATCTTCTTTAAGGAACCGGTTGAAGAGCTCAGTAGATACTCTGTTTGGGCTATTCTTACTGTTGTCGTCGTTTTTGAGTTCAGCATAGGTATGTGTTATACTTTTCTCCTACAATTTTGTGTAGTCATTGTAAATTAAATAAATGTGCGCCCCAAAAGATGTAATCTTTCGTAAGAATTTTGTCGTAGCAGAATTTGGCAGTACGAAAGAAGATTTGTGTTTGCTAATTGTAACTGTAGAGAAAAAAAGCTGTTAATAGCTTTGAACAAGTCTTTATTTAAAATAAAAAAATAGATACTTTATTTATGTCCCTCTCAGATAGAAGTAGGACCAATTTTGATTTGATTTTTATTTTGGGATTAAAGATTGATAATAATGAATTTTTTTTGTGAAACCTCTCAACTTGCTTGACCTTTTACATAAGCTATGTTCTGAGTTTTTGGCAAATATTGTCTCTTATCTTTGAGGCTAGGTCTATTTTGGTCACTCAAATATAACCTTATTTAGTCCCTTAAGTATGCTAAAGTGGAGCACCTTTAGTCTCACTAATACAATGTGTTCAAAGTAATTTAGCATACTTAGTGGTTGATTTAATGATTTTTAAGGGGGGCCTGGGACCTTCTGAGGGATAGATATCCTATTAATTTTTTTTTTCTTTTAATATCCTTCTAATACAACCTTATCTTATGAAAAACTGAGTATGGAAGGAGGGTGAGGAGCACGGACTGGGAGGGGGGGGGGGGGGTTCTTCCTCTGGGCATATATTTGTAATGCTCAGGATGATTCATATATAGATCGATTTACTTGTCAAGAAAAGTTATTACAAGACTAATGAAGAAAATAAATAATCCAAATGATATGACTAATAAGGAAGCATGACTGGGTTATTCTGTTTTTTGGTTACTAAGGACTAATCATGATTTCAATATAAAACGAATTATCAAGAAGGTGGTAATTGGCACAAGATTCATGCAAGGAGGTTGACCTAAGAGGCCCTAAAAGAGGAAGTACCGTTGTGAGCATCTCTTCATTTTACACCCACAATTATGGCTACTAGGCGGTCGTTATTCAGTCTTTCTTTCTCCAAGTACATAGACACCACTTTAACAAACGAAAACTTCCTTGTTTATGCTTCCAATTATGTACATATATGGTTTTACAAGCATGGGACAACCTGTGGCCAATGTAAATCCATTGTTGTTATTGCATTTTATTTTGTTCTTTCTAGTTCTTGCACTGTATTCCATTGGCGGTTACTATTACTGCAAGTCGGAGGCATTTTAGCTAAGAAATCTCGCTAGATATCATGATACGCCATTAGGCACAAATATCTGCCCACAGTATAGTTAGTATTTTCTGGTTGCATTTTGTACCTTTCAACCCCTGGCTACTGCTTTCTTTGTTTTCTGTATAGCTCTGTATGGGGAGCTCTTTATACAGATTCACCTTTGAACTGTCCACAGGAGCCACTCTGAGCAAAGGATTTAATCGTGGACTCGGGACACTGTCAGCTGGAGGACTTGCTCTTGGAATGGCTGAATTGTCTCAGTTGGCCGGAGACTGGGAAGAAGTTGTTATAGTCATTGGGATATTCATAACAGGTCTGGTTTTCTGGTCAGTACTTGTGACTAATATGTATGAATTGCTGGGGTAGGGGTAAGGCTGCGTACACACTCGTATGGATTTTAAGCTGGGTTTGTTGTTGTTGTACTCGTGACTAATATGTGAATTGCTGTTCATCTCTTTTTTATCTTTGTACCTTGCTGACTGCAGCTTGTTTGCCGTTTTCTAGGTTTTTTTATTACTTATGCAAAACAATACCCACCAATGAAGCCCTATGAATATGGTTTCCGAGTATTCTTGATAACATATTGTTTCATCATGGTATCTGGTTATCGCACAAGAGAATTTGTTCATACAGCTGTAAGTCGGTTTTTGCTCATTGCACTTGGTGCTGGTGTTTCTTTAGCTGTGAACATATGTGTCTATCCCATTTGGGCTGGTGAGGATCTTCACAATCTAGTGGCGAAGAATTTCATCAGTGTAGCTACTTCACTGGAAGGTAATTCAACCTCAGAGTCTGAGATGCTCGTTACTGTTCTCGAGATGGGATGGTAGAATTAAATTGTTTCGAAGGACCCTCATCCCTTCACTTCTTTATCTGTTTTTGATGAAATGGAAATTGTTGCAGGTTGTATCAGTAAATATCTGAACTGTGTCGAATATAAGAGGATCCCTTCAAAAATTCTTACTTACCAAGCTGCTGATGATCCAGTTTACAATGGCTACAGATCAGCAGTAGAATCTACTAGCCAAGAGGAAGCTCTGGTATGCTTATGCATTTTGGCAGCATGAATTAGTAATTATATGAAATTTTGCTAGGCGGATGTCCTAAATTAACTCTGATACCACAGGTAGCATTTGCAATCTGGGAGCCACCCCATGGTCCTTATAAGATGATTAAATATCCTTGGAAAAACTATGTCAAAGTTAGCGGTGCATTAAGGTATTGCGCATTCATGGTTATGGCACTGCATGGCTGTGTACTATCTGAAATACAGGTAATTATTCTACTCCTTTTCCCAACTTTCCTGCTAGCCCTTTGCTTGTAAAGTGCATCACATAGTATTGTCTTACCATATTCATCAAACATTTTCCTTTTTTATTGCTAGATTACTTATTCTCTTAGCCAGTGCAGATCTCTTTTCGGAAAACAGTCCTAAAATGACTTGGACCCCCTTCCTTATTCTCCCTTTAACTAAACTGCGCGAGGAGATATTTGAAGATAGAGGAAATAAATGTTGGAATATCTTCATTTCCTTTCAGCATGAGGGAACAAAGTGAGCCTGACAGAACATGTTCTGCAGTATTACCGTTGACTGAAGCCTGTCGTGTATTCTCTCCTTGTAAATCATCCCCGTGCAGTAATAAAATTATGTTGCTGCTAGATATGCATTATTTATTGGTGAATATAGTTCAGTTTAAGAGCTTGCATACCCAGATGTCTCAGTTATACCACTTTATTTGGTAATGCAATGACCTATTTATTGCTGAAATGACTACCAAACATTTCTAATATGCAGGCTCCTGCTGAAAGAAGACAGGTTTTCCGTAATGAGCTTCAGAGAGTAGGTACAGCAGGTGCCAAAGTGTTGAGAGAAATTGGGGAAAAAGTGAAAAAAATGGAGAAGTTGGGGACAGTGGACATTCTCTATGAAGTGCATGAAGCAGCAGAAGAGTTGCAAAAAAAGGTGGATCGGAAGTCTTATCTTTTCGTCAATGCAGAGAACTGGGAAATTGGATCACGACCTATAGTGGTGGATATTCCACAGGAGCTTGGAAGCATGGATGATGACAGAAACTCTTTTCAACATCACAGATCTCAGAGTGAAACAGTAATCGACATTGATTCCATTAATATCTCAAGGAGTTGGGATAATAGGACGTTTAACGTGGATAGTAATAACAACCAAACTGCAGGAGTAACCCCAGAAAATGGGGTGGAGAAACCAAAAATGCGGACCGCACACACGCTGCCTAAAGCTAATGATGTACTAAAAGAGGTGGAGGAGAAAGAAGAAGAAGAAGAAGAAGAAGAAGAAGAAGAATCAAAGACGTATGAAAGTGCCAGTGCGTTGTCTTTAGCAACATTCACCTCCCTTCTCATAGAATTTGTTGCAAGACTGCAAAACGTAGTAGACTCATTCGAAGAATTAAGTGAGAAAGCAAAATTTAAGGAACCTGTGGATTTGTCTGAAGCATCGGAGAGAGTTGGCTTGTGGTCCAGGTTGAGAGGATATATGAAGTTCTCGAAAAGAGAGAGCGAATTACTAGTTTAGAGATCAAATCCTTCCTGTCCATGCAAAGACAGAAGAGTATTGAAACTATTGCACGGTCTGTTAGATGAGATCTTGTAGCAGTTTCCACATCTGAGAACTCGAATTGGCTCTGAAAAGGCAACACATACTATATCCTGACTCTGAAACTCTCGAACTTTTGATCGGAAGTCTGGCTTAACCTTCTTGTGGATGACCATTGACGTACGCGATGATAGTTGGTCATATATTGTTGACAGACCAATGACCAACAACTCTTTTTTGGGGTTTTGCTTAGAGAATTCCTTATTCCTGCATGTTAGTTTTCATTAGCTATAAATATATTGACATAGAATTTTGGCCAAGTATACTGAGCTCTAATGGTTTAAGGTCTAACGGTTAATGTAGGCAGCACAAATGTATATTGAAATACACTGCAACAGTATATTATTATAGTTTATGATGAAGCCGTTGAGGTGCTTTTCCAAAAATTTTCTTCCAGCTCACCTGGGGTTGTGAAAGTTTATTGGTATTTATCTGTTTGCTTACAATAATTTGTACCTTATGTTTTAACTGTATTTCGTACATTCTAAGGTGAATTCTACAAGTGAATATTACATTCCCATCTTATTGTAATATTGTGTAATGAGGCACGTTACTGGCACACTTGGGACACTAAACTAAGTTATTGTCTAGATGTATCACTGTATGGCACCCTAACTATATTTAATGAAGTAAAGTATCACTTGAACCCAATAGCTTGGTTCAAACTCTATTATATGTGTTAAAAAATTACACTAATAACGCTCAAATTGTGGCTTTCGCAACTAAGAGCCTGTTTGGATTAGCAGATTTGAAGTAGCTGATAAACATTAGGTGCTGAAAAGCACTTTTAAGTGCTGAAACTAATTTACTAATAAATAAGCAGTTACGTGTTTGGGTACAAGTGCTGAAATTGATAATAAGTTGCTGCAGTATTTGATAAAAAAGTGCCGATAAGCTCTTTTTCTGTTAAAATGACTTAAATAACCTTAGAACCGTTTACACTTATAAGGGCGTAATTTCTTCAAAATTTTAGACTAAATGCACTCTCTGATGCAACAGTTGAAATTGGCACATTCAGCACGTCCTGAGTCATAGCGGAAAGAACAGGCCAGATCGATTCAAATACAAAATATTCTATTTGTCATTTTATTTTAAATACAACTGTGCTTAGATAAGATAATTCTTTTGATAAATATAATTTATTTTATGATAAGCAAATAAACATAAGTTATAATAATTAATAAATTGACAAAAGTTTCTCAGTAAAAAATAAACCTAAATAGGACAAATTATTTGAAAAGAAACAAACATTGTCTTCACCACCACAACATTTAGAAAGCAATATACAAAAAATTTGATATGTCCTCATTTATTACATACAGTTCAAAGATTAATACACACACACACATATGTCCTCATTTATTATATATATATATATATATATATATGCAAAGGATCCTGGTCAAACTTAAAGTGCTGATAAGCTAAAAATAAATAAGCTAAGGGTGACCAGCTTATGGCTTATTTTTGACTTATATTATATAAGCACTTGGCTTATAAGCACTTTTAACTTTACCAAACGTGTAGATAAACCGAAAAGTGCTTATAAGCTAGTTTGACCAACTTATAAGCTTAGCCAAACACTCTTTTAAGTATCATCTTCCCAGCTCTATATCTTCATTTTTGGATATTAATATACAGGATCCTCGCGAATTGTTAAACGCCCCGAGAAGGTGGTTTACCTAAAGAAAAATGTCAAACCCCTCGACCCAAGAATGTTGTTTAAATAAAGAAAAAAGTATAGTTTTGGGGGTTATACTTAAATTTTAAAAAGTTAAAAAGATCATAGGTTTTCTATTATACTTAATTTTAAAAAAAGTTAAAGAACTATTGTTATTATTTAATCTGTTCGCATAAAAAAGTTTAAAATTAGATTGATCACGTGCGCGTGGCTTACACTACCGCCCCGGGAAAAAGAAGGAACTCAAACAATAAACGGTTATACCTAACTATCGTTTAAAGGCGGGAGAATCACAGAGAAACAAAATTATATAAAGTTGAAAAAGCTGATACAGAATCCCAAAACGAAATAAGCAGAGATCATCGATCAACTTCCACCACTTCCTTTCATTCCATAGTTTATACTTTTACAGGTATCAATCTCTCGCTCTACGATTATTTTTTGGGTTTTCTGAATCCTTTCTTTTTCACTTTCATGCCTGTTTCTTGAAGTACAAGTAACTAAGTGAATTTGCATTGTCGTCAATTTCATTCATCAGAATCACTTGTATATCTTCAATAAGTTTCAGGTTACAATTTGACATTTTGTTCTTGAACTTCATTCATTAATTAGAATCAGTTTTCATTGATTGCTTCCGGGAAAATGATTGTTTCTTATATATGTTAGTACATTAAATTCAAGTTAGCTGGTAATCTTCTTCAAATTTTTATATTCTGTTTACTGTCAAAGATTTCCTTTTGTTTACTGATGATTTAGTTAGTTTTATGTAATTGATGGCCACTACCTATGTCTTTAAAATTTTCAACTTCAAAATATCTGTTATATATGGCCGCAGCTGAGAATTCTTTTATGTAACAGTGGACGGTGATAATCAAGAACTTGATGTGACTATCTTATGGAAATAAATAGTTTTTCTACTTTTTTTTCTTGTATAAAATAGTGCCCCCAGCTTTGCCTTTTTCCCTTCATTCGATCGGCTGTAAGAAAATGGTTAATTAATTGCTTTCTGGTAAAACACTCTTGAATAAAATCCTTTTCGTTACTCTTTTAAAGGATGATTATTTTTGTATGGTTTAAATAAGTTGAGTTTTCCTGAATATATACAGAGAGAGATATTCACAGAGGCACTGCAGCAACCATGTCTATGAGCGACGAATCCGCGTCTCTCGCTGCTGTTTTAATCGATGAATTGATGAATCAAGAAAGCGATATTAGATTGAATTCCATGCGACAACTGTCTACTATTGCACGTGCGCTTGGTGTGGAGAGAACTCGGACAGAGTTCATTCAATATATCAAAGAGAATTTTGATGACGAGGATGATGAGGAAGTTCTTCTTGAAATGGCTCAACAGTTGGGAGTGTTTATTACATATGTGGGAGGAGTTGAACATGCTACTGTCTTACTTCCGCCGTTGGAAGGTCTTTGTAGTGTTGGAGAGACTTTTGTTAGGGACAAAGCAGTTGAGTCATTGTGCAAAATAGGATCTCAAATGAGGGAACCAGACTTGATCGAATCGTTTATTCCACTGCTGAAGGTTAGTACACTTGACATTGTTTCATGGCAACAACAATATACTTCTCATAAATCTTTAAGAATGGCTTCTCATTATCTCATATAAGTTTAGCATATCAAACTGCCGCATACTTGTTATTCCTTATTTTTGGTTTGTTATTTCCGCTTTGAAATTACTGAAAGGATGCATTAGACTGAAAGCTAATATGACTTCAAGGATAATAGGTTCTGATTCAATGGAGTTAACGCAACATATTAAACTAAGTTAGCGCGTCATATATTGTGACCTTATCCACCACAAAGTGCGTAATTGATCATTTGTATGTCTTAGAAGATGTCCATTCCTATAGATTGATGAGGGTAGAAATAAAGGAATTTGAATTAACTATGTATGTGGACAGAAGTTCTCCTTCAGCTAATTCTTCTTAGGTTACTTCTTTTTATAATGCTAGCAGATTCTTTGTTCATCCTTTTATCTATTGATTAGTTTGTAAGTGAATGTGGTGATCTTCTAGTGATCCTTCTTTTCCTGGTTTTGCCTAATCAGAAACTGGCAGCTGATAAGGAGTGGACTGCTCAAAGTTCTTCAAGCGGATTATTTCACATTGCTTACCCGAACGCCCCAGAGCCTTTAAGAAAGGAACTAAGAACTCTATACAACCAACTTTCCCACAATGAAACACCTTTGGTAAGGAAAGCAGCTGCAAAAAATCTTGGAAAGTTTGCTGAGACTATTGAGCAGCCCTATCTGATGAATTACATCATGCCAATGTTCAAGTATCTGAGTCAGGACGGTATGGTGTTCTCATTATTCTCTTTGCTTTCTGAAAGTAGTTTTTATTTAATATTATTGGTCTCAGATTTCTTTTTGGTTCTGCTTGGCTTTGATTCTTTTATACCAAGTGTATTTCAATTTGACGGAGAGAATTCTTATGTAAGGCATATTTCATATTGGCTCTCCTTAGAACAGAAAATTGGTACTAGCAGTTGGCCTACATCAATCATCTTTCAATTGATTGGAGGATAAGATAAAATGAAGGTTTAAGGAAAGAACATCTGCGATTGAGATGTTGCTGTAACCCTCTTTCTAAAGTTAGTTAGAATCTTTTGTTAAGAGTAAATTGCATGTAATTTATCTCTTCATCCTCACCCTAGTCAAGGCATAGAATTTATCTCTTCATCCTCACACTGTTCTAGGTCAGTCAAGCATAAAGAGCATATTGATGCAAGTTTTGGATTGCAAATTTTCGTTCGGAAAGGGAGTGATCTTCAAGGTAGCTTCAAATAATTCTGGAAAGAAGTACCAAAAAGTCTGATCAATTTTTATGTGCTGATGACAAGCCTTAGTTGTTCTATTTAAGATTTGCTCTCATATCGGAAAGTCTACTAGTAGTCAATAGTTGGCAGTTGGCACTATCTCAGTGTTGATCTAGATTTGGTTTATTCTATTTAAAATCATTGTGACTAAACTGGGTGTTTGTTCTATTCAGATCAAGATTCTGTCCGTTTATTGGCTGTCAAGAATTGTGCAGCTTTAGGGAAGCTATTGGAGCCACAAGTTTGTCTAGCAGAGATTCTCCCTGTCATAATTAGGCTATCACAGGTTCAATTAAACTATAAATATCTGCAACATGACTTTTTTATTGACTTGTTGTTATATGTATGTACTATATTTTATTAATTTTGCATATAAATGAATATCGTGTTTTCCTTTGATCAAACACTGATTTGCTCTATCAGTTTACACTTGGATACTGGTGGCCAGAACTATTTTAATTACCTACTTATCTGCATTAACAGGATGATTCTTGGAAAGTTCGTTACACGGTTGCAGATCAAATTTGTGAACTATGTGAGACAGTTGGACCAGATGCTACCAGGTATTTGGTTATTTGTGAATTGAAATGATGTTAAGATCATTTCCCCAATCTTTTCCTTTTATACTTTTTAGTTCTCTTTCTCTTTTTGTTTTAACTTTTAGTCAAGTGTCCTCTGTCCAAAACTAACTTGAGAGTTGTGAAATTTGGAAGGACGGAGATGGTCCCTGCATATGTTCGTCTACTTCGTGATAATGAAGCTGACGTCCGCAGAGCTGCAGCTGGTAAAGTCACCAAGTTTTTCCAGATATTGAGCCCCGAGCTTCCAGTCCAGCGTATCTTGCCTTGTGTCAAGGTTTAAATCTTATAGTGCTTGTTTCGTCTTTTGCTATATTATCATGCTCTATCTCTTGGTCTTTTCAGTTTGTATGCTGTCTCATTATTCCTTTCCTTGGACTGTCTATTACTCGTTCAAAGGAACTTTATAATTTGTTATAAGAGTTACATTTTTTTTTTGTATCAGGAACTATCATCAGATCAATCCCAGGAAGTTCGTTTTGCTTTGGCTTCAGATATTATGGGACTGGCTCCTATTTTAGAAAAGGTATAAATCCTTGCCAATATTAGTCTATTGTTTCTCAATACCACAGTACGTGCACTAAGAACTATCATCAACTTTTTTTTCTGATTGTTGTCCTGGTGTAACATGTTCTTTCCCATGGTGGTTCAGTATAAACATAAATGATGTCTGCTTTGTTCTTTTTTCTTTTGTTTTTAGAAAACCTTTTGCTTACCTTTTCTCCATATGAGTCTCTAGTTATGTTAATGTGTCTCAATATGTTTTCTGATCAAGAAAATTGTCCTCCTAATATGCTTTAGTATTTTGCTCGATAAAGCACCACATTCTGCTGTAACTCTTGCACTTATATTCACTTCTCTCAGTCTCTTGAAAATCAGCTCTCAGTTTTGTTGGAAAGAGTTATAAATTTCTCTCTTATCAGATTTTAAGCAGCTTATGCTAGAGAATGATTTCTTAGGTCTTGCCGTCTGTGTGGCTTTTAGATTGTGTAGCATATATATATTTCTTTCATTTTGAGCAACAAGTCGTGAATATACTCCTTACTTGCTTTGGGAAGTCTGAGTCTGCTTTTAGTCAATCATATCGCGAAGAGGAACTTATTGTTTCTGTACTTCTCATTGCAGGATCAAACTGTTGAGCAGCTTCTCCCAATATTCCTCTCTCTTCTAAAGGATGAGTCCACTCAAATTCGTGTGAACATTATTAGTAAGATTGATCAAGTGAACCAGGTTAGCCATCTATAATCTGTACTCAAGCTACTTTGCATGGTCTGAATCTCACCACCTATACCCTTTTTTTTCTTTTTTCTCTTCCAGGTGATTGGAATTGATCTGCTTTCCCAAGCACTGCTGTCAGTTATTGATGAACTTTCAGAGGCTAAACACTGGAGAGTTCGGGTTGCATTAATTAACTTCATCCCTCTATTGGCCAGTCAGCTCGGTGTTGGCTTTTACAATGACAAAATTGGTGCTCTTTGCATGCAATGGTTAACAGATGAGGTATTCCTGAAGCTCTCTTTTTCTAATTAGGTCTACTGCTGATTTAGATGGCAAAAATCTGTGAAGAATAAACTTTCTTGTTTACGACTTGTTTGTTGAAAGAGTCGTGGTCTGTAGTTTAGTTGGGATAATGTTGTTTTTACATGTTTCTTATTGTTTTTCAACTTGCAGGTTCACCAAGTTCGAGTTGCAGCAGCTAATAATCTTGAACTCCTCGCAATTAAATTTGGTCCAGAATGGGCATCAGAGCATATAATTCCACAGGTTTTCTAGTCATTTACTGCAAGATTTTATCGCTTGTTGCTGATGCAATAATTTAGCAGTCAAATATTTGCAATCTTATCTACTTCATATTCCAGGCCTTTTGTTTCATTTGACAACTAACACTTCTTTACAGGTTTTGGACATGGTTAATGACCGGCGTTATCAGTATCGCATAAACATACTTCGCACACTTTCTCTTCTTGCCCCTGTAATGGGCTCAGAGATTACTACTTCCACAATTTTGCCAGTTATATTTGCTGCTTCAACAGACAGGTTAACTATCAACCTCTTCATGCTTCAATTCTATACATTCAAGATACTTGTTAAGGCTCGGCTCTAACACTTGCATATTCCAGGGTACCTAATGTCAGGTTCAATGTGGCAAAGGTGTTGCCGTCTCTTGTTTCTGTAGTTGATCAATCTGTAAGTGACAATGTAGTTCTACCATTGCCTGCAAACATAGAATTCTGACACAACGTTCCGCTGATATGAACATTGCTCTTTGCAGGTTGTGGAACAAAGAATTCGGCCTTGTTTGAATAAACTCAATCAGGACGAGGATGCTGATGTTAGGTTTTTTGCCAACAAAGCCCTACAGGCAATCTATCAGTGATATATGTCTAGTTAAGTCAGTTTGATACGTCGAAAATAGTAGTTTTCTCCTTGTTGATACTGAATACTGAAGATAAAGGTGAATGGCGATGAAACAGCAGAGCTTTTATAGTCTAAATGTAGATAATCAGATATTGCATTCTCCTGCCATTTTGTAGGCATTAGAATAGAAAATCTCTTGAACTGCCAAATGAGTATGTACTATTTCGCGAATGTAGCTGTGTGTTGGTGGTTCCTGATTTCTTGGCTTCTTGCTGTTGGGACACGAGAGTGTACTGCGTTTATGCAGTGTTTTTCCTACCTGATTCATTCTGCATATCTGCACTGCAATTCTACATCAGATACTAGAACTCTAAGCCAGTGACAATGAGTACTGAGTAGACTTGTGGATTACTAATGAGTCGAACATTGGATGATTTTGTTGGCTTGGCTGCTGGTATGCTGAGTACAAAATTTGTTTTGAAAATGGCCATGCCAATAACCACAGTTCTGCAGTTTCTCTATGTTGGTTTTCAGTAAAAGAAACAGATGAATCCATAGTGATTGCGTTTTGATACTTCTTAATTTGTTTCATTTTAATATTTTATTCCAGTAGTAAGTTTTCTACTTGATTTTTCAGCTTTAAAGATAGCAGAGAACAAACTAAACTACCAGTCATAAAATGTTAGACCACTAGTTAAGGCTAAAGTTTCCAAATAGCAGAATTTTTCATTCTTTCGTCCGTGAAGTATATTACATTTGCAAAACTTTCTAAAAAAGGACAAAATAGAAAAAGTGGGCTCAAAAAAGGCTATTTGAGAAAATTAGAGGTAAATTAGTTGTACGTAATTAAATTAAAATAATAATAGGATAAAAATGTAAAAAATGGAGTAACAACCATTCAAATATGTATAGATTTTAACTTAAATATATGTAAAAATAATTTTTACATAATGGAGGTCATAGTGTAAAAAAGTCTTTAGGTTAAACTAATAGTATTTAAATAATAGCACATTCAACGCGGTAAACTAAGGTAGACGTGTACTGGTTAGTCGTTACAAATGCAAAAACTATATAGGGTTGAGAGGGCCATATACTTAACAAATCTCGAGTCTTGACCCCCCAAGATTTGAGTCGAATTCGCTCTCTGGGACCAGTAGGGGTCAGGCCAACAACAGCAAACAAAACAATTGTGGTGTTCAACATTCTTCTTCTTGTTCAAGATTTTGACTGGAAAATTGACAACTTCAAATCAAACGATTCCAATGTATCAACCGTTATCAGATCGGAGTTAATGCATAATCTTGAACATTTTCTCATCTGAAGGAGAAAGGCATTGGGATCCGTTTAATGGCTCGGATCTTCGAGTACTTCGTAGTATGTGGAATCGGGCCAGAGATTCGGACCTTGGATGGGAACAGAGGGTACCATGGCGCAGGGGTTATGTATTTGCCTTCTCTTCTTGATCAGTACCCTCCTCCCAATCACACTCTCTACCCTCCTCCTCCCCCTCAACTCCCTACTGTAAGTACTCCATTCCCCCTAATTTGAATTTAATGTTTAGGGTGTTTATTTTTTGCAGTACAAGTCATTTTTTGCATTATTTGGAATGCAGTGTGTTCTACCTGCTGGAGTGGAATTCTACGGGTCGGGTTTTGATTCAAATGATCCATCTACTTTTCCCAGGAGTTATCCTATTGTTTTGACTGGTACGCTACTAGCTTTCATATAGTATCTTCACTTGATTTTTTGGATGAAATCGACTGTATAAAAATCCCATCAACATACTTATACTTGGTTTGGTTAGTGTTGTATCGACGTATGTACTTTCCTATATAGGGATTTGCAGCTTTATTGTTGATCTTCTGATAAAACCTTATGTCCTTATTGCACCCAAGGGTCTGGCCTAGTGGGAGGAGAACCACAAGGCCTTAGGTTCAAATTCCAGCAGACTAAAAAAACTCTAGGTTATTTCTTCCCATCTGCCTAAGCCCGGTGGAGAGATTTATCTGGTACCTGTGCTGGTGGGAGGTAGCAGATACCGGTGAAATAGTCGAGGTGTGCACAAGCTGGCTCGCCCACCATCGTCATAAAAAACATTATGTCCTTATTACTAATGAAAGTGATTTAGTTCAACTATTGTTTTTAGGTCATCTTATTGAAAGGAAGATTAGTCTCTTTTTCTTTGCCTTCTGCTGTTGTCAGTTTAGTCTTTCCGCTTTCTTTCTTTTATTGGGTTGTGACTAGCGAGTGATACTGGTTACAGAGGGTGATGGGTCAAAGATCTATGTCAGCTGCATCGCATTTCGGGATCCTGTTTGCGAGGATATTGCTGAAGCTTACCGCATTCCTGCAAATTCATATGCTGACAAATGCATCTGTCTTGTCTCACGTTCTCCCAGTTTTGGAATCCTTCGAGATGCACTGGAGGAGATTTTTGTGCTTTGTTTTTCCTCCTCTGGAAGCAGGTATGGATTAAAAAGCTTTGCTGGTTATGATGGTAATCAGTAATTGACAGATATATTGCACATTGATTATTAATGATGAAAATGTATACCTTATAATTAGGTCTCCCAGTGAGTCAGCAATCTGTTTCTTATGAATGAAGAATAAGCTGGCCTAAAAATTATTTTTCACCAATATTCCCTCCTTAAACTAGGACAACATCTTCTCTGTTCTCCCTGAGTAACCAGTTCCCGATCTTAGTAGCTTGAGAGTAGTTTGAATCACTTTCCTATCTTCAACACCTCAATTTTTCCACCGTGATACCAGTATAAAGACTGACAGGAAAGGTTACCAGTAAAACAAGTGTTAATTGCTCCAATAACTTATGGTCGGGTCAGATATGAATTGCGATAAAAAAATTGTTCCTCGTTTTGTGGCGATAATATATAACTTGCTAGCATGTCAAAATAGTTCTTTTCTTGGGTCCACCTATTTTCTTCCCCCTTTCATCCTACTTTCCTGGCTTGTTCTTTTCCCTTCCCAGTATGAATCAAGGATTGTATTTTTCCTTTTCTTGCATGTGCAAAAACACATGATTTAGAATAGTAATTATATAGCTTCTGATTCATACCCGACTCCAGTAAATATATGGTTAGTAACGGAAAGTGGTTTTTTGCATTTTGTTTTTTCCTAATTTTAAGATTTTATACTTCAAATGAAAGCGGAATTTCCATTTTATCATCCTGTGCACTAATGTTGTCAGCTCTGCAAACATTTCAGCAAGCCATTGTGGGATGTTATAGCATATTCAGTCTCCAATGTACCTTTGCCTACACCTGGAAAGGATAGGGTGCTATTTGCTATTGAGAACAGCCTGCTCTCTGTTGAAGTTCCACCAAAGGAGGGCCTTCCTCATGCCGATGTATGTTTATGAGCATTTGTCTTCTTGAGAGTTTCGCCTGTTAAGGTGTCTCGCTCGATGGTTGATTCAAATTCAATAAAGGATTGACTATGTTTCACTTGATGACAGATATCATTTCAGCCTTTGCTTCAGTGTTTGGATGTGGACAATGTAATCCAGTTATTTACAGCTGTTTTGCTTGAGAGAAGGATTTTGCTTCGATCGAACATGTATTTCCTAATTTCTCTTTAGCCCGTGGAAAAAACATAAGTAAATTTGTTTGATTTCTTCTGTTTACATATAGTGCTGTTGGTATCGTCTCCTGTTTCTTGTGCATAACTTATATTTTAAATGACGTGTGCACTGAAGCCTCTGCCGAGTGTTCTATCTTAGCAGCTTAAAGAATTAGACACCTAGCTCTTTGCTAGCTTTTTGGTGCAACATGGCCTTGGTAGGATGTAGGTTCCATGTTATGATTGGGGGTTTGTACACTTTGTACTTTTTAACGCACTGTCATAATGCTGTTATACCATTTATAAAATGTGATTACTTATATAAAAAAGAATTAGATAGTCAGCTCTAATTCTGACACAGTTCTTTCTATTGATACATACTTGATGTGAGAATTGTTTTATCTTGTGCCTGGAAAGGGCATAATCATTGATATTAGCAAAGCCTACTTCATATAACTTGCAGTTGTTTATTCTGTTGATTGAGCAGTATCTTTTAACAACTTTATATTGAAAATGTTGGTAATGTGACTAATGGAAAAGGATTAATAACTCTGTGAATTGTTAAATCTGGCGTTCCCGAAAATGAAGCAGGCTTATAACTTGTTTCTATAACCTTATTAAGAAAATGTAATTGTGTGTGCAATAAAGCTGAAAACTTTTGGAGCAGGAAAGCAGAGCTCATGTATTTCTTAAAAACTTTTGGAGATGCAAAGTATTATATGCTGCAATAAGCTTCCAAGATTTTAGATTCTATGTCCTAGTCCTCAATTTTTTTAGTGCTAAAAAGCCCCTTAATTGGTTACTTTAGGTGCTTCAAGATAGTTGTCATTGGATTCAACTTTCTTTCAGCTTCTCTGTTTAGTGGTCTTTTCAGTTCTGGCTTTTAAGGTTTTGCAAATACTCGCAAGCAATTAACCTTGTGTAGCTGATTGTATACTGTTGGAACTCATGTTTCCTAATTTCTAATTAACTGATTTTGCAGGTATTCTCTGTTAACACTTGTATCAGAAGCCATATGCCATTTAATTTATCCATTTCGGTGGCAGGTGAGGTTTTTTACTGGTTTATTGAATATTTTTGGGATCTATGGCTTGTGATTTCATTTTCAATTTACATATATATATATATATATATATATATATATATATATATATATATATATGTTCCCATGTGCATTTTCTGAAATTATATGTGTGTATTTNATATTGGTTTTCCCGTACGGCACTGACAATCTCGTCTAGCGTATGGAGGGGACCTCAGTTGGCGGACAGCAACTGCACTGACATCAGTTGCCTAGCCGTACGTCGCCCTTCCAAGGAATCTCAGGAAGGCGCCGCGTATCAGATAGCATGTCAAAGACAACCGGCAATTCAGTAAGATACATGACAGAGTTTAAAGAAAATATGTATATGATCAAAGATATCATCCATGTTTCATCACATGAACATCATCAAGAGAATGTACTATCACATAACATCATCAATAATGTCGCCTTTATTTCAGCGCATGTGACAATATCAAGAAATTCCATCCTTATTTCGACACATGCGCATATCACCACACTTATTTTGCCACATGGGCAAATCGGAGAAAACTCAACCTTACTTTGCCCCATGTGCATAACAATAATCACAATCGCACGACAAAAACCTCATGCCACCACCTAATCAATCCGCCCAACATGTCCACATGTGCCATATTTATCATAAAGAAATATGCCAAATTTCCATCAAAAATATTTACTCATAATTTATCAGCAAGATGCACAAGGACATGGCAATAATAAAATACGAATGTGCGTTCAACATATAAAGCATGACTACGGCCAAATTAATTGTAGCAATCAAGTTCATGTAGTCACAAAGTGGTTAAACATGGTTCATATAAAGCATATTATCAAATTAAAGCATATTAACATCCTAATGTCTAATCCGGTCATAAACTACACATAGCACCTGTGTACACGCTCGTCACCTCGTATAAATGTCATTTTTCACATAACACGAATAGGCAAATAAGGCCAGATCCTTAGGCGTATTCCCCCCCCCCCCCCCACAAGGTTAGGAAAGATACTTACCTCATACAAGCTAAATCAATACACCAAAAATGCTTTTCCTTTAAAAGCCACTTTCGTCCAACTCAAATCTAGCAAAAAAATGACTAAATAACATCAAACAATGCTAAATGAATCCATTCTAAACAATAAAGTCTCAATATTTATCTAATTTCTGAAAAGTCAACAAAAGTAAACCTCGAGCCCACACGGTCAAAACTCGAGTCAAGGGATAGATCCCTACGAATCCAAATATGTGATTAGATTCCAAAATCGAGTCCAAATTTACTCTCAAATCCCCGACTTTTTATTTTTCAAAATATTGTCAACCCTCCCCCCCCCCCCCAAATTCCCTTTCAAATTTCATGATTTAGGTGTAAAAATCCATTAGAAATCAAGATATAATAATAAAATTAGGTAAAAATCACTTACCCAATAGCCTTGTGTGAAAATATCCTAAAAAAATCACTGGCTCAAAATATGAGAAACTGGGTCTAAGTCCCGAAAAGTTCAAGTAATAACCAATTACAGATGTTGCATTTGCAATCATAGGATCGCAAATTCGACACTGAGCTCGCAAATACGAACCTAGACTGCCCCCAGTAAATGTCGCGAATGTGACCCCCAACTTTGCAATTGCAAAATTTCCAGTCTGCTAGCGAATTTCGCAAATGCGACAAAATCCCTCGTAAATGTGAGGTCCCCCTCTTCCTCCAACCATGGCAGCCAACAGTCGCAAATGCGATAAGGAGTCCACAATTGTGATCCTTCTCAGTTGCAATCAGACCCTTGCAAATGCGAGGTCTGCAGCACCAGCAAAACTATTGCTTCACCAATCTACTCCGAAATAAATCTGAAACTCACTCGAGCCCCTTGGGATCCATAACAAACATCCACACAAGTACATAAACCTTATACAAACTCTTTCGCAAGCTCGGAACATCAAAATAATATACAAAACCACTAATCGAACATCAAAATGCATCATGCAAGTTGTGAAACTCAAGAACTTCAATATTCATAACCAGGCATCTGATTCCTACCAAATCAACTCGGAACACAACAAAACATTGTATACAGGTTTCAAATGACACAACGGACCTATTCCAAGCCTTGAAATAATAATTCGAACCTAATAGCCACAAAATCAACCCATGGTCAAACTTATAAAATTTCTAAACTTTTAAATTGCCAACTTTCGGCAAAAAGAGCCAAATAATCCTAAGAAACTCCTAATCTAAATCCGTGCATACACCTAAGTTCAAAATCACTATTCGAATATATTGGAACCATCAAAACAAAAATCCGAGGTCGTTAGCATAAAAGTCAAACCCTGGTCAACTCTTATAACTTAAGCTTCCAACAATGGAACTAAGTGTACCAAATAACTCCAAAATCTTCCAGGAGTCAAACTAACCATCCCCGCAAGTCACAAAATAAAAACTAAGCACACAAGAAAAATTAAATGGAAAAACGGGGCACAAATACATAAAACGACCGACCAGGTCATTACAGTATGATAATGAAAGAGATATATGAAAAGAGGCCATGAGTGCCATAAATTGAATACAGATACTAAGGCCATGAATTCCGTGATATAATTACAATGGTTTTAAGGAGGAAATTTCGTAACCAAAATTATTTTGGAAATTATCAATAGATGACTGAAAGAGTATTAAGACGTACGAGTTTGATGTCTAGAAACTACACGTGGCGATGTGGACATAGCCAAGGCCGGCTAGACCCTAGCACTTGCTTTAGGCCCCAAGAATTTAAGGGCCCCAAAATTACTATATATATATATATATATATATATATATATATATATATATATATGTTCCCATGTGCATTTTCTGAAATTATATGTGTGTATTTATGTACGTCAATACGTATGTATGTTTGTTAATGTGTATGTATGTACATTTACTATGCCCTATGCTACAGGGGCTTTATTATGTTTTGAGGTTTCCATGGACTGTCATCTGATTTGCTGATGTTTGTTGTGCTGAAGCATGTCTACATTCCATTGCTGTTTTTCAGTGGAGTAGACTATATTGATGCTCCTACGCCTTACATGATGGGCCTTCACTCTGGCGTGGATACCTATGGGCTTACGATGGATGGTGTAAGTTCACATAATGCTTATAAGCTAACTTAGACACTTAACTCTCCTTATTTTTTCATTTAATAATGAGATAACTTGAGTTATCATTTTTTAAATTAAACGGTTGTCAGTGTTGATGATATATAGTGGTTCATGTGCTACCTATTTTCTTGATAGTAAAGTAATTCTACTTATGAACCAGCACCAAGAAAGTGTTACCTGTATTTAGTTTCATATAAAGATGGCATTGTTCTTCGATGTTTTTTTTCTTCATTTCTAAGCAAAAGAGGAAGTGTCTCATGAGATTTTAAGGTCTGGCATAGAAATCTCTGAAGCAATGTCTGCTTGGATAGTCCATTTTAAAAAAGATATCTGCTTGGATAGTAATGGTAGTTTGATATGAGTTTATTGCATATGAATATGTGAGACATAGTCGGGGAAATTATTGGTTGACTTAGTGGTGTAGTGTGAATCCAGCTAGTTTCCAGGCTGGAGTTACTTTACTAGAGTTTTGCTTGCACTCAGATATGCCAAGCCTGAGCCAGTATGAGCAAGGTCGAAGCAGATCCAAGCTTTATAGGTACTAGGTAGGAATTATTGCGTGGTAATTCTAAACGACTTTCTTCTAACATACTCCTAAACTCACTTGTCTTTTTATTAGGTTGTATTTCTCTGTGTGGTAGGGTAGGTATTTTTGGCATTTCATCAGTGTTATAGATTGAAGAAATTTTGTGCCCCTTCTTGATTTTGATGGCGCAATGTTAAGGCCATTTCTAGAATAAATTTTGATGTCACCTGTTGGTTTGTCATCATGCTGATTGCTGTTATCACTTATCACAGTTTTTGTACTCATGCTTTTTTGGAGCTCCATCTTTAGCTTCTTACTGGATTAACTTGATCTCAGGCTGTCTTGTTGTAGTTACACACATAAGTTCTTCAAACATTGACAAAATCTTTCTTAAAAGAGGAAAAAACGTTGACAACATATCTGATAAACTAATAGTTTCATTCTGCTGATCTATGCCGAAGTGTTCACAAGAGAAAATGAGTGGTTTCTGCATGTGCCCTTTCTCAAAGACATACTGTGAGTATCAGGTCCAGAACACACATCTAGTTCCCTCGAGGGTGATTCCAAAATTTGACAGCCTTATCTTGGCGGGGAACTACGCTTAAAAGAGTCACTAAGAGCTCTGCGGATCGACGCACCACAATAGACTTTATGATATAGGAGAAACGGATATGATAGATTTTAGATTGGACTCTTCCTCTAGAGATATATACACAAGAAACATATTCAATCTGGATATTACTGATAGAAATAATTAGCTACTCCAGCTAATCTAGCCTTGAAGCCACTTTAGTAGGTTTTTAAAGTCAGTTGTGTTATTTCTTCTTTTTGGCATATACTTCTATATATGGGTAATTTGTGCCCTTTATTAATAAAATTTCATTACTTTATCAGGAAAAAGAATTCTAAGTGTGTTATCTTTCTTTGAAGGTGAATGATGCATGTGCTATAAGTGGTTAAATAAGAGTTCACTTACCAAGCCCCAGGGCTTAGTTCAAGTAGGAAGGTTGAGGGACTTGTGATTTAGGTCATAGGTTCGACTCCTGTTCCATACGAACTAAGCCTAGTTTTTAAGTGGAGAAGAGTAGAGGGGCGGGCTCTTTTACCCGAGTTTTGAAGGCTGCGGTTGGTCCTTAGGTTTGGCCCCTACTGTTTTCTTGGCCATTAAAAAGGGTGTACTTTCTTTTCAAACAGATGAAGGTGTACCTACTAAACAGTGGTGAATTAGAGTCTGCTTCAGTATCATGTTGAATCTTGCAGCTGCATTAGTGCTTCTTACATAATTTACCATTTATGCAACTTTTTGATTTGTGCTTCCTTTGATGTTTTAGGTAGTTATTGTGGACCTTGAGCATAATCGCATTACCACAACTGAGGAGATTCCTCCCATACCAGAGCCAGAATATAGTTCACTGCGTGGTGAGATTATGAAGTTGTTATATCCAAATGTTGTTGGAATAGACCAAATGAAGGCTACTCGAGGAAATGTCTCAGATCAGTACCCACGAGGTGGCAACAGACCATGGGGACAAGAACACGACCTCCAAATTAGGTGATTCTTATGTGCCGTTTTACAATTTCTGTGGTTGCTTTTGCTTGTCTCTCAAGGAGGATACTTGAAATTGCTATGTTACAGTTTCATATAAAACTAACATATTAAGCCCCTATTTTTCGCTTCATTGCAGATTTACATTCTTAAAGTTCTTTGCATCAATACTTAGTGGCTACCGCAATTTCATAGTAAGAAGCCTATACTCCTAACTGATTGATATATGTGAAGGTACAACTGAATATAACATTTGACATCGCTTTATTTCAGGAAAATACTGCAACACAGGTCTTCAACTCTCAGGCTTTTCTGAAGAAGCGCTCTCGGTCAACAAACCAGCCACTTGATCCAATGGTGATGTTGAAGTACCCATCTTGTGTTTGTAGACATACAGATTATTTAACTTGCTTGTCGTATAAATATCTGGTCCTTTATAAGATATACAGGTATCAACATATCAAAGAGGGCCTGCCAGAATGTAGGATGGATTTTCTGACGATAATATTTATTTGTGGTTCCTATACACACACACACACGCATATATATATATATATATATATATATATATATATATATATATATATATATTGATGGGATTCGGTTTATTTTAGTTGCAAATCACATAATATTGATTATGCATTACAATTTCATCAATACATTGAAGGCTAATATTTTGATGAGATAGGGAAGACTTAGCTTAGGACTGAGAAGTAAGGAGACTCCAACGTTCATTTTCATTTTCTTTTTGTTTGTAAGCCTATTGGTTTGATATTAGTAAGGATGAACATGATGAGGTTTGTCGAAGCTCGACCTGTAATGAAAAAGTTTTATCCTCACCCACCTGCTTTATTACTTATATATCTGTATGTTACGCACACACGCACACATACACCTATACTTCCACGTGGTTTCTGTATGGTTATTGCTTCTAGTGTCACCAAATTCATTTTTTTTTTTTTTTTTTTTTGTATTTTGCCAACAGATAAGTCAGTTTTTAGATTCCCAGGGTTTCTTAGATTATTTGGAGAGAGGTCTTGGTTCTGACGAAAACAATAATAATCTCCTAGATAAGTTGCAAGATGCAATTGGCAGGGGTCAAAATCCTCTTTCAGTTCTTCCTTCACTTATGGCAGAGGCAGAGATCATAACTATATCTGATCCTGGTGTGGGAATTTCAGGTATCTTTTCTTATTATCGTGTTGCGGCTGAATCATGTCTGATGAACATATGATTGTTAGGATGGATACACCACTGATGTAAATTCTCCTTTCCTCCAAAAAATTAGGATCAGGTGCCAAATACTGTTATGACAGGTTTCCTGCAAATGTCAGAACAGAAGAGCAAGAGGAAAAGAGGAAGCAGATTCTAGCAGCAGCAAGTGGAGCGCTTGAATATTCTGGAAGGCATACTCCTAGGTATGTCTTATGTTTTATGCGGGGATTTATCTGGATGTTATTATAATTTTGCTTTTTATAGTTAAAATTAATATTCCCTCCATTACATCAGTTCACTTTCAGTACTTGCTGGTAACGATTCAAAGGCCGAAAGTCTAAGCCCCAGAGAGCGAGCTGTATGTTTCCTGTATTTTGCTTGTGATTTCTGTGATTTGCTATTTCATGTCTCTCAACCCAGTTGGTTTTTTTTTCCTTCCTCACAGGCAGAGAGAGAACGTATGGTTTTGGACATAAAAGTTAAGCTTCAGGTGAAGTATTTTGTTAAACCTTAAATCTTCCAATCCTTTTTTATCAGATGCTCCCTTCTATAGTATTCTTTCTCTTCAGTTACAGTATATCTGTATCAGATTCGTCTAAAATGAAGATTGCAGAAGCACTACCAGTAAGGGGTAGTTTAGAATTCAATATTATTCCTCGTGCTTTGAGCTCATCTTTCCTGATAATTTGCCTTGCCTTTCCTTTAATATTACTTCCATCTTGACTTGTTCCACATGGATCGGATTTTCATTCAAGTGGAAGCTATTGACTTCTGTGTTTTTATCCTTAAATTCCTTATTATTTTTATTATAAAGTTGGATCATGGAACAAAAGGAAGTAGGGTAAGGAAGATAGTGGCATGTCTATTTAGTTTCTATGACAAGTAATTACGCGTCCTTTAATGTTGTTTGATAGGATTTGATGAAAATGAGTACCTGTTTTTTTGTTTTCCAAATCTGGAAGAGTGGAAAAGGCTGGTTTGTAAGCTGTGTTGTTCATTGCGTGCACTTACGTTGTCTGTTTCGTTATTTCTTTCAAATCTGGTAGTGTAGGAAAGGCTGTTTTTTAGTGCTGTCTTGCTCCTTGCTTTTCACTTTGTTACATATGAAAGGAAATAGTTCAAGCCCCTTTTTCCTGCCTGTGCCTCTCCATCTTATTGGGTAGATAATCAGTGCCCTTTCATTCAGATGGTGAGTAGTTTTTGTTATAATAAGTTAATATTAAGAGAACTGGAGGAGTGAAAGCTACATGACTGTAAGTATGTACCCATCCTATTGTTACGGCATGACTGTAAGTTTGTACCCATCCTATTGTTGCGGCATTTACATACAGCTGATATTAACCAGAGTAATAGTGAACAGCAAACAATCATATAGAGAACTTGCCTTTTAGCTGTTTGATCATATTTGATTTCCTATTATCTTTCATACACAGATTCTTCCTGAACTCGTGATGTAGTGTAATGGTGCTCGTCCACTTATCCTCCACTAGAGATAAAGGTTTGTATAAAATAAGTACAGAATAAATATTATCAAAAAGGTTTAGAAAAAGGAATTAAAGCTGTCCTGCCCCCAGGCCTTTGGTTCAACCGCAAAAGTTAATAAGTGGTAGGTGCACTTCACAAGTTCAAAACCTGGTTTTTGCACCAAGTCTATTGACTTAAGTGGAGAAGGGTAGAGGGGTAGGCCCATTATCCCTGAGTTTCAAAGTTGAAACAGCTGATTTCTTGGTAATTCGAAAAAGAAAAAGAAATTAAAGCCGTGCTATTAGGTCCACTTATATTAGAGCTCCCTCTTCACATTAAAACTAAAGATGTGTTGCATGTGATACGGTTTGTTTGCTTCCAAATAGTATTTAAATTAGATCTGAAAATAATGCACTAGGGATATACGTTCCTGGCTTGGCTTTAAATTGCATGATCTTTTATTAGATTCAGTACTTTGAAAAGCTTACTTGACTAGTAAAGATATGCAGTTGTTAGCCAACGATACAACAGCTAAAGGCAGGTGATTCTACACTTATTATTTGACAAGGTGGGTGAAGTCTATACATTCTTCTGGAGAGACCAAATACTCATGGTCGTCACATAACTTTGATCATATTGTGTGTTTTCTGGATTTCTTAGGAGTTGCAAATAGTAGTGTTATTTATTCTTTTATTATACATAGCATTTCCTAATAAATGATGCTATCTGAACTTTCTAGTATTTGTAGCTTCTCTAGTTTCCTAGTGGTCTTTTAATGCTTCTCAAAAAATACTTTGAGTTTCCAATCGATAAATACCTAAGGTTGTCCTCTCTTTTTTGAGAAAGGTAACAGTGGTATTATAAATCTCCAGCACAAAGACTGCTGTGAACAATATTTAGAGTTCAAAAAGCAAAGGAAAAGTAATCCTTAATCTTCTTACACAGATTCAATAATGTCTTATAAAGATTCTGCCTCTTCAATGATATCTTATTTACACCAAAAATAAAATAAAAGAAGACATGTCATCTTGATTTTCTGATTTGGCTGCTACTTTCTTTAAAGTGTCTTGAGTTCTTTTCCTTCCAAATTGTCCACCAATTACAAGCAGGTACTTTTCTCCACCATGTTTTCCGCTTAGCAGTATCTCCCATGGTGTTCCCACAAGCCATCAATTCTCCGGTAGACTTTGGCATAACTCTTTTTCAAATGCCAACAAGTTAAACGAGCGGTTAATGTTCTTAATTTCTTATACCTTGTAAAAAAAATGTTCTCAATTTCTTACTAGCCAATTCTTCTAGTTTGACAATGCAACTTAAAAATCCATTTAGCTTCCAGTAGATGGATAGTGTGTATATACCCTATTTATCTCTTAATTTTCTGGGCTTCCCAAGGCAAGGAAGTGTGCTTCAACAACTTTTGAGTCTTTGGTTCTAGTTGACTCTCTGTCTGGTGCAACAAAAATTTGCACCAACTTTACATGGGGAATTTATTGGCTTTTAAAAGAGATCTCTTGTAAGGTAATACAGTTGATTATCATATTTAGCTTTCTTGCCAATTTTTTTTCCCGATTCCGATGCCCGAAAAGGATCTAGGTATCTTTTGTCTGCTCTGTACATGTGCCTGCACTCCTGTGGCCCCGTGGATGCCTCTTACTTCATTGATGAAAGAAAAGAAACTTCTCAGATAGACCTTTGATTCCATATCTGCATTTGCTTTTCCTTTACGCAGGGATTGTGGGTACGCCTTGTGAATTTGGGACAAACTGATGATCCTCTTTCCTCCTTTGAATATGGAACCATCCTTGGTATTTTTCAATATTATCTCAGAATTATTGGCTTTCATGGTTAATGCTGGTGTCACCTATATCCTACTGTCCTAGCAAAAGAAGAACTGGATAATTGGCTGAAATTTTTTGTTCTCTTATCAGCATTGATTGAGTCAGATGCAGAAGGAATTGGCGGTAGTGGCTTCGTTGAATGTATAAGAGAGCACATTCATTCAGTACGTAGCTTCAAATAAGCATTGTTATGCAATCAGTTTGACTTGTTTTGTGCACTGACTCCTGCCCCCCTCTCCACACATTCATAGGGTTTGAACTGTCAATTGTCAGAGGAGCAGTTTATTGCAGTGAAAGAACTGGTATAGTCACACTTTAACTGCATGTTATTCATTTGATTGAACTTATTAAGAC